CATTCAGTGAATCATTCAATGGAACCTGTAGTAGAGCCTTACATTTTTATTCATTAAAATGAATTCTCCCTAGTTTTTTTTTTTCATTATTATCCAGTTCATTGGTCAATCATTAACCTTGTTAGAATAAGTTTCGGAAAACTTTTTTCTGCACTATTTTCCTATTGATACAAAAAGTTCTGTGCATCGCTCACTCAATTCATTAAAGTGAACATGCGTCTATATGCTCTTTGCAGTGAATTGTTTTATTGAACTACTAGAGCATCGCTCGTTCAGTTCATTCAGTGAATCATTCAATGGAACCTGTTGTAGAGTTTTACATTTTTATTCATTAAAATTAACTCTCCATAGTCTATTCTTCATTATCGAGTTCATTAATCAATAATTAACCATCGCTTGTTCAGTTCATTGAAGTAAACATGCGAACCTTTAGTAGAATTCATTTTCATTTTAATGCATTTAGAATAAATACTTCCTACTTATTATCCAGTTTATTGATCCGAAATTTCATTTTCGGAAAGCTTCTATCGAATGTTTTTCTTATTGGCACAACGTTCAGTTCGAAGTTCAGTGCATCGTTAGCTCAGTTGCTAAAACGAACCTATGTTTAAACGCTCTGAACTAATTGAAGATCGCTCGTTCATTCAGTTACGTATAACAATGAAGGTACTTGAATAATCCTTAATGACAAATATTCCGAGACCACGACTTTATATAGAACTTCTGTGTGGTTTCGTGCCGGTATGTAATATATATTAAAAACAAAAACTTTAACTATTATCATTTAGCAATTTTGTGAACAAATCAAATCTCTACATTACCCGTATTTCGCAATCTAGTTCAGAGATAGCAGATCTAGTTCAGGAGCAGATCGATCAGTTCCCTTTCTAGGATGAAACTGGTTTTTATAATATCACCATTCGGGAACTATATGAAATAGACCTATTTCGGATCACTACGTTCTTAAAGTATTGTCATTGAACTTGTTTGTTCCGGAACCAATAAATTTTTGAAAATAAGTTGTATATAGAAGTTAACAACGTTCAAACTTGGAGCTAACCATGACCCACGGGATTGTTTGAACGAGGATATTGTTAAGCGCAAGGAATGTAATGAATGCTATTGAGGGTTGGGTCATTCCGAAATTAACTAGTTCCAAGGTACTATTCTTGGTCCAGTGCTTTCGCTTATCTAGTCTCTTTTGTTCGCTCACTTAGTTCCTATTGATCCTATCTTTCATTTATTTCGTTTCGTTCATTGGACGAATTAACTGACATGTACCAATGTACGATTGAACTAAACGGAACTGTGGAACTAAATGTATGGCCTAGTTCAAATAAAAAAGATCGAACACCTTCAGGAACGAGATTTCCAAACTCTAGTGCTGTTTTTATATACAAAGTTTGTTGGTAAGGCCAACATATATTTTCTTCATATTTCGATAACGACGGTACGCGGCCACTTCCTCTTGGGAAATAGAGAAAATATTAGAGTTGGGCAATCTAGTTCACGTAGCGGATCGATCTTTCTCGTTCCTTTTTTTAAAGGAACTACTTCCTTTGCTTCATATAGTTCCTTTGTTCCATATAGTTCCTTTGCTCCAAATAGTTCCTTTGCTCTATATAGTTCCAACTCTTTCATAGTTCCTTTGAATCTCTCTCTTTCATCGTTCTTTTGGTTTTTTTTTTTGCTAACATAGTTCCGTGTTGATTCATTAAAAAAAAGAAATGAAAAATTAAAAAAATAAAAATGAAAAAACAAAAATGAATTGAAGCTACAGAATTCAACTGCAGGACGATAAGCATAACATATTTTTTATAAATAAATAAAAATATTTAAAACAAAACAAACAAATTAAATTTTAACTATTAACACAATAATAAATTGATGAGCTTTATATGTTTATATGTTGTTAACAGTGTGACGGCATTTGTAAAACGAACGAATGAAGAATATGGGAATAAAGGAATAAGATCAGAAAAAAAGAACCAGACCAAAAAAGAACGAGATCAGAAAAAGGAACTATATTAATTAAAGAGTTGGAACTAGTTCCGATCGTTCCTTTCTCGAAATTGTTCCAATGAACTAGTTCTTTCCGGAACTACCCAACTCTAGAAAAGTACTCACAAGACAATTCAGATCGATGTTTTTTAGAAGAACAAAGGGAACAAAATACACGACTGAACTAAAATTAATTCCGATCGTTCATTGAACGGAATCTTGCCATGGAATTAGTTCATTGTGTTTGCTTTACTCGGTCGATTGTCAATTGGACTTTAGTATAGAGTTTTAGAATTGTTCTGTGCTTTCAATCCCCCAATGCTCTTTCAAACCACCCAATAACTTCGATGCGCCCCTGTAGGAAATCTCACCCAAAGTGGTAATATTAATTGAAGAAATAGAAAAAAACTCTCACACATACAATTTTTATGTTTTACCTTTTTGTTGCCTAACACACTGTTTACAAGCCTACCGATTCATGTTATCCCTTCGTTGTTCTTTTTTTCCACTCTTCTTCGCTTAAAAAACGGTTATCTAGTAATTTATCAAATAAATTTCATTTGTATTTTTTTTTTCTCCACAACAATTTTCTTGTTTTTTCTTACTTTAATGGGCATTAAATTAAATATTAATCTACTATGGAACAACTGTATATAATAGGGAAATGGGAGATTGGTTTAACGTAAATGAGAACTAGGAAAAAAAATAAACGAGTTAGATCTAATAGGCGGCCGTAAACGAATAAAAATAATGGACGGAGGAAACTGCAAAACCTAAAAACGAATGAAATAGAACTGTAAACCATTCTACAAAATTGTAAATAATTGTCAACGGAAGGAAATTGATATAAATTGAGTTCGTAAGGATGTTGGCGCTGCTGCTGCTGCAATCCTTAGTTGTGGCAGGTGCCAACCGTCCACCCGTTTCACTTCGCCGAGTACGAGTAATTACCGGATGTCTATGGTAAATTAATTTTTCTGTTTTTTATTTTCGTAATGAAGTTGGAATTCTTAATAGCATATAAAGAAAATATCAAGGGAAAAAGTAGGCGAATCGTTTAATATGATAACAAAACTCAATTAGATTACTTTATTAAAGATGAGGGTCATCCACTTATACATGGTATGACATATTATATTTGAAAATGTAATCAAATTTTTAATGCGATTTAAATGGGGTTATTCACAAAATAACACTGATGCTGCCGATTCCAGCAACCAAAATTACGAAAACTAAAGCAACACTGTATAGGAAGGCTTATCGAAGGACAATGTGCCAGTGTCTGTGATATGATGACAAAAACCCTCGCTCGATAAGCGACAAGAAATCCCTATGAGTTATGAAAAAAATACGAAAGATACTATCCGAACGAGACCTCAAGAGAACTCCAGGCCGACAGAATTCTTACATCACGTACCTGCGGTTATTAAAGCTTCTCCAATGGAAGCTGATCCTAATTATAGCATTTCCTCCTCACAGCTTGCGACAATGAAAAGGATTAGGTCGACTTATAAGTGGGAAGTAATACCTATGTATAATGAAACACCTTAAGGTAAAGAGAAAGTACGAAATACACTATCCGAACATAGCCTTGTGGAAATACCCAACGGCGACGACCAAGTACTTTGGAAATCCCGCTGCCCACACCAGCAACTAAAAGTGGGAAAGGCAGAGAAAGACTGGACAGGAAGACTTACTTACATACTTAGATGGCTCAAGACAGAACATTTTTGCTATAAGCCAGCTTGAAAAAGATTTCCAGGCTCGTCGGAATTGTGAGCAGTTTTTCCAATTTGAAATTCCATGTTTCGATATGTTATCTTCCACTTAATCTTTCCATCGAATTCGTGGCCCTCTTCTTCTGCGTGAGCCTTTTGAGCTGGGGCATCCTCAAATATTCGCACAACATGATCTAGCCACCGTAGTCGATGCAGGTCGATGCGTCTGACTATATCGATGTCCTGCCCGTAGATATTTCGGCAATTTTTTCTCTCAAACACTCTAAGAACTGCCTCATCTGCCTGCACAAGTACCCATGCTCCAGATCTATACACCTGCACGGGTAGTATCAGCATCATGTAGACTGTCAGTTTGTTCCGGCGAGAGGTGGCCTTGTTCTTGAATTGCTTACTCAGACCATCTGGCGCAGAGTGAAAATCTGGTCAATGGTGGATTTGCCAGCCATTGGCTTCAGTCGTTCGCACAGTACGCTGAATAGCACTTTTTATGCGATGGGATGGAGACTAATTCCTCGTGTTGTCTCATTTTTAGTGCACGGGACACAGGATGCATGCATGCAGGTTCCAGATATGCCTTCCTCATGCCAAAATGTACTAATCTTGACCAACATCTGACCACCAATCTAGAATAGTTCGGCTGATAACCCATCGGCACCTGCTGTTTTATTATTCTTTAGCCGATTGATTGCAATTCTGACCTCATCTTACCTAGGTGGTATACACTGTATACCGACATCTCTTATTTGTTTTGAGTTATCTTTTTTACCACCACTATTTGATACCAGCAGCTTTTCAAAATGCTTCTTCCAGATCCTCAACATGCTGTCTGTATCTGTCACCATGTTTCCTTCTTCATCTATACAGGGGGACGCCGTCGGGTGGGTGTTTTACTCCTTGGACTTCGATTTGTACATCTCGATTTGCTCCCGCTCACATTTTTCTTGTTCTTTCTTCTTTTTTCTGAAAATACGTTTCTGCCGATAATTCTCTTTCGCATTACGTGTTGCTATTGCTAGCAGGGTTCTTCTATACGTTGTGTTTTTCATATCAGTAGCATTGCGACACTCCAGATCGCACCACGGGTTTCTTGATTGTGGTATTTAGTACCCATGTATTGATTTTGCTGCAGTTTGTAGGGAGTGGGTCGGGACAAGGAGTGCTTTCGTCAAGCAGGTGAGTAATTTGTGCAGCTTTCCGCCATCAAGTTTCCGTGTTGTGTTAGATCGCACCTTTGTTGCTACATTAAGACGAGTGCGAATCATGGCTGCTACAAGTTAGTGATCTGAATCGATATTCGATCCTCGGATCGAACAAACGTCTAAAACACTGGATGAATGCCTTCCGAATGTCACAACATGATCGATTTGATTTCTCGTTGTTTTTCATCGGGAGACAATTAGGTGGCCTTGTATCTCGATATGCTTGAATCTGTGCTGCTGACTACCATATTTATGCTGCCGCGAAGTCAATCGAGCGAAAAAACTGCGCCTGTTCTGTACAACGTGCGCACATCCATATACAGATTCGCAGATCTTGACGCCCTATACGTTTGCGGGAGTTGTCAATATTAAGGGGTTGGGTTTGGTTTTCTTTTTCGTTGTTTTTTCATAGTAGTAGATTTTTCCGAGGGTGGGCAACTAACTCGAAGCCTCAATCCATTTTTTTAGTTCTCATGGATGAATTCGCGGCACATATCACCTCACTATTTCAACAGGCGATGAAAATAGTTACCCCAGGTGGCATTGCGGGCAGGTCAGTGTCCACAATTGAGATGAAAGAGGGACCGAAATAAGCCTGGGCTTTGCCATGTTAAAGCCAATCAGAGCTGTTGCTTGGTATCTATCATCCCCTAAAGATTACGACGATCAGACGATTAATTAGGGTAGATCGATTACGCTATCAAATTATTCACAGAATAATTTCACTTTTTCATTTAATTGTATTCTTTTCAGCTTGGTGCCAAAGCTGTCCTAATCTTTCTTTGACCAGTCTCCCGAAATTCATGCAATTGGTCTTGGAATTGTTGTGGAAAAAAACTTATATTTATGTTTTCAAAAATAAATATAAACCTCATATTAAAATTAAACAAACAACAACCTTTTTCCATGAAACTTCTAATAAAACTTCACCATCTTCTATCTTTTCTAACAGATATTTCATCGAAACTACAACAACACTACAACGACAATGAAAACTCCATTTATGGTCATAACGGAAATCTAGATGTTATCGGCGATAATGACACCGAAGATGATGATGTTGTTATAGTCGACAGTACAGTTACCACAGGCATTGGGGCGTTGGCGGCATCGGCGACAAGCAATATTGAAACACCCAATATATTTACATGCCCCGCAGATGGTTTATATGCCCATCAATATGAATGTCACCTGTACTATCGTTGCGAACAGCAGACAGACGGTTATGTGAAAGCCTATTTATTAAGCTGTCGTAGGGGTACAATATTCTCACGTGATTTGAAATTATGTATGCCTCCATTGTTGGCAAATCGTGCAGAATGTCAACATTACACCAATGAAATCGATACACTGCTGACAACTGATGATGATGCGGCCGAGAATGATATTACACTTAGCGGTGGTGTCGTTGGTGATGATGGAGGCGATGTCATAAATGCCACCAATTCTGCCAACATTGATGCGAACATTGATAACCGATTGATGTATATACTGCAAATGGCCGGTGCTAGAATCGGTGCCAATGGTGGTGGGGTGGCGAACAATGGCAATGCCATGGCCGCCGATACATACAAGCAATGGCAAAATTATGGTCTAACAGGATTAAGCGGTGTTTCGGTAATTTCCTTTTCAACATCATCTGCACGTTCGGCAGCAAGTGCAGATAACGACCAAGGACCGCCATGTAAAGATGATGGATTTATGAGCGATCCAGATGATTGTACAGTTTTCTATCGTTGCATATCGAATGGCCAGACATTTAATAAAATTGGCTTCCGCTGTTCGGGTGGCACAGCATGGGATGAATCACTGCAATCGTGTAATCATTTGGCCAATGTCCGTAACAATGGTGGATGTCTGAATAAGAAGGAAGGCATACAAATGGATGAGGAGATGATGACGGCAACACAATCGTCACAAAATAATTATCAAAATACGACCACGTCGTCATCATCATCGAGTTCACAACAGCAGCAACAAAGTTCAACATCATCATCAATGAGTTCCTCATCCACATCGTCTTCTACATCCTCATCTTCGGAATCATCTCAACAGCAACAGTCGTCTTCAACACAATCGAGTAGCACTGAAAGTTCATCGACATCTTCATCCAGTACTCAAAGTTCATCGTCATCTTCCCAAAATTCTTCCACTTCGTCGTCAAGTAGTCAACAATCAACAACATCTTCCAGTACTGCGGCAAATATGGAAAGTTCCACCCAGCAATCTTCTTCGAATAACAATCAGTCCTCGAATTCCCAAAGCTCGAACAACAATCAATCTTCAGGCAGCTCATCTAGTTCCACAGAGAATATGGAAAGTTCTACTCAACAATCATCATCAAATAATCAAAGCTCCAGTTCCCAAAACGCCAATAACAATCAATCATCAAATTCGAATACGGGATCCTCTAGCAATCAAAGCTCAAACTCCCAGAACAATCAATCCTCAAATTCTCAAGGTTCCAATCAACAATCCTCCTCGTCGTCTTCCAATAATCAAAATGGCTCAGGCTCATCATCCAGTTCGGCATCATCTACCAACAAACCGGCTTCGACAAAATGTGAAGATGAGAACACTTATATTCCCGATATGGAAGATTGTGCCAAATTCTATCGTTGTCGCGATGATGGTAATGGTGGACTGGAAATGGTGACATTCACCTGTGGACCTGGCACTGTATGGAATCAAGATGATAAGGTGTGTGATTTGCCTACGGATTCTCAGCGGGAAAAATGTAAAATCACTTCGTCGAATTCTCAGCAAGGTTCATCAAACTCAAACAATCAATCGGGTTCTTCAAACTCAAATCAATCCGGTTCCTCCTCAAGTTCCAATCAATCAGGATCTTCAAGCTCCAATCAATCAGGATCATCAAACTCTAATCAATCGGAATCTTCCAACGCTAATCAATCCGGTTCATCCTCAAGCTCCAACCAGTCTGGATCGTCAAGTTCAAATCAATCAGGCTCATCTTCAAGTTCCAATCAATCGTCTTCTGGAAATGACCAATCAGCATCTTCATCAAATAATAATCAATCACAATCGTCCACGTCGGGCGCCACTACGACTGAAGAACAAAAACCTCAGAAACCCATTAATCCCGATGGAAAATGTAGCGATACCGAAACATATTTACCCGACAAAACCGATTGCAGCCGTTTCTATCGTTGTCTGGATAACGGAAATGGTGGTTTCGATATTATCGGATTTGATTGTGCACCCGGAACAGTATGGGATGGCGACTCTAAAGGTTGTAATCATCCAACAGATGTCCAGAAGGAACAATGTAGGGTAATGGCTGCCGGAGGTGGTAATTCTCAGGGATCGTCATCCGGCAATCAGCAACAAGGTTCGTCAACAACACAGGAATCTTCATCCAGTTCGAGTAACCAACAACAGGGTTCTTCTTCGAGCAACCAACAACAGGGTTCATCATCGAGCAATCAACAACAAGGTTCATCGTCTTCATCAACCACGACAAGCTCTGGAAGTCAACAGCAGGGATCAAGTTCAAGTAATCAACAGCAGGGTTCATCTTCATCGCAGGAATCATCCAACAGCTCCAATAATCAACAACAGGGCTCGTCAGGTTCCTCATCAAGTACACAATCCTCTCAAAGCTCCTCATCATCGACAACGGAATCGAATCAATCTTCTCAATCATCCAGCAGCCAAGAATCTTCAAGTACCCAAAGCAGTTCATCTTCGTCATCATCGAACAATACACAAACCGGTTCATCCTCCAGTACCGAATCCAATCAGCAGGGTTCACAATCATCTTCAAGTCAATCTGGTTCGAATCAGTCCAATCAAACTACAGAATCGTCATCAAATAACGAATCTAGTCAATCGTCTAGCTCTCAGTCCGGTTCTAGCAACACAGAGAGTAGCAGCAGTTCGTCTAGCACCGAAACTCAAACCACCACACAGAAACCATTTATCCCCGCCACCGAATGTGAAAATGAGGAAACCTTTTTGGAGGACAAGGAAGATTGCAGTAAATTCTATAGATGTCTAGATAATGGCAAGGGAGGTTATTCGAAAGTTTCATTTAAATGTCCACCCGATACTATATGGCATCCTGAGGCTAATAGTTGTGATCACCCAGCTCAAGTGCCATCGAGAGATTGTAAAATGCCACCACCTCCACCACCATCATCAAATACCACAGAGTCTTCAACTGGTACGGAGAGTTCCACTAGTCAATCTTCCGGTTCTTCATCATCAGCCTCCACCCAAGAGTCAAGTCAAAGTTCATCGACCACACAGGAATCATCGCAATCATCTTCCTCACAAAGTTCTTCGTCGAACCAAGAATCCAACACTACTCAAAGTGGATCTTCATCTAATCAGGAATCAAGCACTGCTCAAAGTGGATCTTCATCATCTCAGGAATCAAATACTACGCAAAGTAGTTCCAGTTCTTCCAGCAGCAGCACCACCACTCAGGAATCCTCTTCGTCTTCTTCACAAAGTTCATCGTCCAACCAAGAATCCAGCACAAGTCAAAGTAGTACCAGCTCAACCACAGGTTCTACATCTCAGGAATCACAAAGCAGCTCATCCACGACTCAAGAATCTACCTCACAAAGTAGTTCAGGATCATCTTCGACCACAGAAGAATCATCAAGCTCCTCGTCTACAACAACCCAAGAAAGTTCCTCGTCTTCATCACAGCAATCTGGTTCATCCAGTTCATCTCAATCTGGATCACAATCCTCCAGCTCATCCCAAAGCAGTTCATCCAGCACTCAATCCTCCAGTTCCTCGCAACAAAATCCTGTTGGCACCTGCAAGAGCAATAATCAATATCTAGAAGATTCCAAGAACTGTGCCCGCTTCTATAGATGTGTGAAAAACAGCAAAGGAGGTTATGACAAGGTAGCGTTTACTTGCGGACCTGGCACAGTGTGGGATCCACAAATCGAAGCTTGCAACCATGCCTGGGCAGTTAAGGATCGTAAATGTGGAACTGGAAGTAGTGGAACAGAAACAGGTAGCTCTGGACAGCAAACAACAAAGAAACCCGCAACAACTCAACGTCCTCTGACTACCACAAGCAAACCTACCAGTAAACCTATTGAACAGCCACCAACGGTAGCACCATCCACGACCAACAAACCTGCCGCCCAGAAACCTTCCTCCACAACACAAAAACCAATTGAAAACACCCCTGGCATTTGCAAAACCGATGGTTTTGTCGGTGATCCTAACGATTGTACTCGTTTCTATCGTTGCGTATCCAATGGTAAAGGAGGATTTACTCAATATCCATTCCGTTGTGGTCAAGGTACCGTTTGGGATAGTGATTTGCAGACGTGTAATCATGATTTGAATAAATGTAATACGAATAATGTTGCGGGTGAACATCCAACGACCCCGAAGCCGGACGATACAACTACAGGGAAAGCACCAAGTTCTATGCCTGGTTATGAACCAACAACAACCACTCAAAGGCCACAAGAGACCACCACTGAATTCACTACCACAAGTCCACCGGGTTATGAGCCCACCACAACTACTCAAAGGGCTCCGGAAGGACCACCAACCACTACCACAGAATATCCACAGCCAAGCACAACTACCACAAGTCCTCCGGGCTATGAACCCACCACTACAACTCAAAGGGCTCCGGAAGGTCCACAAACCACCACCACAGAATATCCCCAGCCGAGCACAACCACCACAAGTCCGCCCGGTTATGAGCCCACCACAACTACAAGTCCACCTGGTTATGAACCCACCACAACAACCAGTCCACCGGGTTATGAACCCACCACAACGACTTCTCCAAGCACAACCACAACAATGAAACCCGACCCCAATAAACCAATTAGTTCCAAAGACCCTTGCCCCAAGGAAGGCTTCTTCGGAGATCAAGATGATTGTCAACGATTCTTCAGATGCATTGACAATGGCAAAGGTGGCTTTGAAAAGCACTCCTTTAAATGTGGCAACGACACAGTTTGGGATGCTGAAATTGAAAGTTGTAATCATCCCACAGAGGTCTCAGATCCCAAATGTCGTCAAGAGGGTACTACCGAACAATCAGGTATGACGACCACCACAATGAAATATCCAACAACTGGAGTTACAGGCTTGGAAGAAGATACCACCACAGCTATGCCCATGACCTCGACAACACCCGTACCTAATTTACCAGCCGGCAAGGAATGTAAGGGTAAAGGTTTTATGGCGGATCCCGAGAATTGTCAAAAATTCTATCGTTGTTTGGAAAATCCAAATGGTAGCTTTGAGAAGCATGAGTTCAAATGTGCCAAGGGTACTGCATGGAATGAAGATAAGCAGGCATGTGATTATAGGGAGAATGTTGAACGTTGTCAGGGTACCACAGAGGAACCAGAAACGGAGACCACAACCATGGAATACGTGACAAGTACAACGGATAAATATACCACTACAACATATAAGCCGGAGGTGACAACCACAACACAGGTTGTTGAGACCACAACAACATACAAGCCCACGATGACAACAACTACTCAGGTTATGGAGACCACGACTACGTATAAGCCCACGATGACAACTACTCAGGTTATGGAGACAACCACCACTTACAAGCCCACGATGACAACTACGACTCAGACTGCAGAACCCACAACCACATACAAACCTACGGAATCTACAACAGATAAATATCCCACTTCCACAACGGAGGGTAGTACGGATTATACCACCACCATGCAACCAACAACATCCACCACTCCAGTACCCAATCTGCCTCCAGGCAAAGAGTGTACCGGTGAAGGTTTCATGGCTGACCCAGAGAACTGTCAAAAATTCTATCGCTGCATCCAATCCGGTAAAGGCTATGAGAAACATGAATTCAAGTGTGCCAAGGGAACGGCATGGAATGAAGACCAGCAGGCCTGTGATTACCGTGAAAATGTTGAACGTTGTGCCGGTACGACTGAGGAACCTGAACTAGAAACAACAACCGAGGAATTTATGAGCAGTACAACTCCGGGTTATGAGAAGCCAACCACAATGAAACCAGAAACCACCACGGAGTACCTCACCAGTACCACGGATAAATATACCACTACTACCAGCGTGCCGACCACAGCCATCACCAGTACCACGGATAAATATACCACAACTACCGGCATGCCAACAACAACCACCGACAAATATCCAACCTCAACCATTGCCGTCGAATCATCCACAATTCCCGCGGAATCAACTACCGAATTAACTACAACAATGGAACCATCTTCAACAACTCCAGTACCCAATCTGCCACCTGGCAAAGAGTGTACTGGAGAAGGTTTTATGCCTGATCCCGATAATTGTCAAAAATTCTATCGCTGTATTGAATCCGGAAAGGGCTATGAGAAACATGAATTCAAGTGTGCCAAGGGAACAGCCTGGAATGAAGATAAACAGGCCTGCGATTACCGTGTCAATGTAGAACGGTGCTCCGGAACTACAGAAGAACCTGAACTTGAAACCACTACCGAAGAATTCATGACTAGTACAACTCCCGGTTTTGAGAAGCCCACTACAACTAAACCAGAAACAACCACGGAGTATGTCACAAGCACCACGGATAAATACACCACAACCACAATGAAACCGGAAACCACCACAGAGTATGTTACCAGTACCACTGATAAATATACCACAACTACCAATGTGCCGACCACAACCACCGACAAATATATAACCTCAACCATTGGAGTCGAATCATCCACAATTCCCGCAGAATCAACAACAACCATGGAACCATCTTCAACAACTCCAATACCCAATCTGCCTCCTGGCAAAGAATGTACAGGAGAAGGTTTCATGCCTGATCCCGATAATTGTCAGAAATTCTATCGTTGTATACAATCCGGAAAGGGCTATGAGAAACACGAATTCAAATGTGCCAAGGGAACGGCATGGAATGAGGATAAACAGGCTTGCGACTATCGCAAAAATGTTGAAAGGTGTTCGGGAACTACCGAGGAACCAGAACTGGAAACAACAACCGAAGAATTCATGAGTAGCACAACTCCCGCCTATGAGAAGCCTACTACAATGAAACCAGAAACCACCACGGAGTATGTGACCAGCACCACGGATAAATATACCACAACTACCGGTATGCCGACCACCACTACCACCGATAAGTATCCAACCTCAACAACAATCCCTGAGTCATCCACGGAATCCAGCACGGAATACACCACAACCATGGAGCCCACTTCAACTACTCCCATACCCAATTTACCACCCGGTAAAGAATGCCAGGGCGAAGGTTTCATGGCTGATCCAGAGAACTGTCAAAAATTCTATCGCTGTATCCAATCCGGTAAAGGCTATGAGAAACATGAATTCAAGTGTGCCAAAGGAACAGCATGGAATGAGGATAAGCAAGCCTGTGACTATCGTGAAAATGTTGAGCGTTGTTCGGGAACCACCGAAGAACCTGAACCGGAGACAACAACTGAGGAATACACCCAAAGTACCACAGATAAATATACCACAACAACTACCCAGGGATATGAAAAACCCACCACTGAAGAAGTTATGACCACTACCACCTACAGACCAAGTGTGATCACAACAACATCTAAACCATCGGACACAACAACAACTGAATACGATAGTACCACAACCTCTACACCTGACAATACAACAACCACAATACAACCAACCTCAACAACACCTATACCCAATTTACCCGCCGGAAAGAAATGTACTGGTGAAGGTTTTATGGCCGACCCCGATAATTGTCGAAAATTCTATCGCTGCGAAAAATCTGACAATGGTTATGCTAAATATGAATTTTTGTGTGCCAAGGGTACCGGTTGGAGTGAAGAGAAACAAACATGTGATCATCGTGATAACATTGAACGTTGTCAGGGACAAACAGAAGCTCCTGAGCCAGAGACTACCGAAATGCCAACGGAAAATTTAACTACAACAACGATTTCGTATGAGACCACAACAACCGAAGGACCGTCAGTGACAAAACCAGTAACTACAACGGAAAGGCCAACCACTACTGACAAATCGACAGAGATGCCAACCACAACTACGGATGTGCCAGCCACAAAACCCACGACTACAACCACCGAATTGCCAACCACAACCACAGGAGTGCCAACCACAAAACCCACAACTACAACCGAAATGCCAACCACAACCAATGAATTGCCAACCACAACCACCGAAATGCCAGCCACAAAACCCACGACTACAACCGATATGGCACCAACAAAACCCACAACAACAACAGAAGAAACTACCGACTACACCACAACAATGCAACCTACCACAGTATCGCCCATACCAAATCTTCCACCAGGCACTAAATGTCCTGGAGAAGGTTTTATGGCTGACCCGGACAATTGTCGCAAGTTCTATAGATGTATAGAAAATAACGGTAAATATGATCGTTATGATTTTATGTGTGACAAAGGTACCGCCTGGAGTGAAGAGAAACAGACGTGTGATTTTGCCGAAAATGTGGAAAGGTGCGAGGGACAAACTACCGAAGCTCTTGAGTCAACAACAACCACAGAATGGAGCACAGCCCCAACTAAGCCCACAACTGCTGCAACTGAAATGGGCACGACCACATCATACCCCACAACGGCTCAAGGGCCAGAATATACAACTACCACTACCATGGCTTCGGAAACAACAACCACTGATATGCCAGGTTATGTGCCCACCACCACCGCACCCGCTGGTACCACCACCGAGAGTGAATCAACCACAGATTCCACAACAACAACAGAACAATATGAAACCACAACAATGGAACCAATAAATCACACCTGTACTGCCGAAGGTTTCTTCCCCGATGAGGATGACTGCAATCGTTATTATCGTTGTGTAGAAGGATCGAAGAAGGGAACCTATAACGTGTATAGTTTCCGTTGTCCCAACGGTACTGTCTGGGATACTTCACTGGATACATGTAATTATGCCGATCAAGTATCGGGTATTTGTTCATCGGGATCAACAACAACTACGGAAATGTCTACTACGGAAATTGGTAGCACTGGAAAACCGGAGACAACGACCACAGATAATCCCAAAGAAACAACGACAACTGGCAAACCTGAACCCACTACTACCACGGATTATCCCAAGGAGACCACAACCACCGACAATCCTAAGGAAACAACGACAACTGCAAGACCTGAGACCACAACCACCGATAATCCCAAGGAGACAACCACTACAGATAATCCCAAAGAGACAACCACAACCGTCCAGCCAGAGACAACCAGCACAGATAATCCCAAGGAAACAACAACTGTAAGACCTGACACCACAACTACAGATAATCCCAAAGAGACTACCACCACTGATAATCCCAAGGAAACAACGACCACCTTTAAACCAGAAACTACAACAACCGACAATCCCAAGGAGACCACCACAACTATCCAACCCGAAACCACCACCACCGATAATCCCAAGGAAACCACAACAACTGTACAACCCGAAACGACCACCACCGACAATCCCAAAGAAACAACAACCATGAAACCTCAAGAACCAATTACAGGAGAACCTGTAACGGGAGGAAATGTGACAGCAGCACCTTGTCCGCAAACCGAGGAAGGACAATCCTTGTATATTTGCCCTACCGGTTTTAGACGTCATCCCAAACACTGCGATATGTTCTATCAGTGTACAGAAAAGCAGGATAGCTATGACCAGAATATTGTCGTTTTCCAATGTCCCAATGGTACCGTCTATCATGAAGATTTGAATAGGTGTGACACTCCCCGAAAGGATGAACAATGTGATGTTAAGGCACGCACTCAGGGCGGACTCTTTGAAGATGAGTACAAACAAAGTCATACGGTAAGTAACATATCTTTAAAAAATATTCTAATTTCTTATTCAAGATTTTCCTAAACCTCATTCCGCTTCTTTCTACTTTCAGATACAAATCCATTCCACGGCTTCCCTCTGCCCAGCCGAAGGACATTTCGCCGTGAACGGAGACGAATGTGGTCAAATATTTATTAAATGTCAATATTCCGCTGGCAGCCAACGTTTGGAAGGTCAAATCTTTAGATGTCCCAAAGGTTTTGCCTATTGGTCCGTAAGTCGTCGCTGTGAAAGGGCTCAAAAGTTGCAGAACTGTACCACAACAAAATATGCAATCTCCACATCCATACCCGTTGAATGGTCAAATATTGGAGCTAGACGTCGGGCATTTAGAGTTTAGTCAATTTTCATAATACCATAAGTATTTATATTGTAGAATTATTTTTATAGGAAATATTATAGACGACATAAGCAAACGATTGTTTGTTCTGTTTACGAAATCGTCCCTAAGGCGTATTAGTGACGACAACACTTATACGCCAAATAGTCTAAACTATTTCGAAGCGATTTGTGTAACCAAAATAAACGATCTTTGTTTCGTTTTTTTTAGCATAAGTTCCCCTCGGGTTTTTATTGTACATTGGTGTTGGTATTAGATCTAATTTCCAAATTTATTTTATATTTTTATTTGGTGTATGGTAAACCGGGTTCTATATTTTTTAAGTAAGCTAGAATTATGTATGATTTATGTAATTAATAAATATTCCTATAACTTATATAGACTTATAGTAATAATTTCATATTATAATATTAAATATGTATATCGAATAAATGCCATAATATTTTTATAAATTTTTATATATTTTATAATACATAAAAGAAGCAATAAAGAAAAAATATTTTAATAAAAAAATAATTCTTCTTAATGCCAGCGATTAAAAAAAGTATTAAAAGAGAGCACAATTGTTTAAAGAATTAAGGAGCAAAAAAATGTGGAGGTTGAGACGGATCTCAAATGAAACGTCGTAGGAATAATTGTGAAAATAATTTCAAATTTAGCCAATTTTGGATTTCCGAATATGCATAGGAAAATTGCAGATTCTATAGCCCACTGTACAAAAAATTAAAATGGGTGCGGATTCCAAATCAAAGAACTCAGGGAGTTGTGTTTGGGGTTATTATCTTGATAAAATTGAAATGTTGTCCCCCATTCCAATTTTTCAGCACTACATTTCAAATTATCCTTTTGAATATTTAAATAATAAATTGTATCCATAATTCCTAATCCGGCAGCGCTCATACAGCCCCATAGCAGTACAGATCCTCCTCTGTGCTTTACGGTCTGAATTGTGTGCTTAGGTTCCACAGCTTTATTCGCCCTTCGCCATAAATTACTTGGTGTATCCGCCCAAACTACTTAAACTTAACAGATTTCCCAAATGCAAAGGCCTTTGTTATCTTCCCGAAAGAACGCCAATCGGATTTTCTGGTTTTGAGGGTGTTATATCCCCATTTATAATAATACATATTGGCAACTCACAAATCACAGAACAGCAGACATATTCGCAGCAAACACACCAAAAACAGAATGTGCCGCCATTACAAATTATGATGAAAAATGTATTTGTACTTCAAAACCGATTTTTATCAACATATCAAGACTTTCCGATTATTGCTCCGTCGAGATATTAACGAATGTGAATTTGTATCGACTTGTGACTGCAAAGCGGACATATCCTAGTATTTTCCTTCGAGCCCAGTTCATACGTGGATTAAAACATGTACATATCAGAAAACAACTGCTACAGTCAGATGAACCAGACCTCGACAAAATACTGGAAAAAGCCTTGTCTTTAGAAGCTTCGAGAATAGACAGCCGGGGATTGGATTTAAAAATTCAACAGTTGGACAAGTGGCGTAAACAAGATACCATCCAGATTCTCAAATGGCAATGGCAGACAACAATTTCAGAGGTCTTGTTCAAGAGGTTCGTCATGGTTAAAATTCAGGATAAATTTTTCTCAATTGGGTATCGACAATTTATGTATACGATGTGGACAGAATAATCATAAGGTAACAGATTGTCGCACAAACCCCAAACGGCTAAAGTGTAAAGCTTGCGGGGAACAAGGACATGTAAACAAGAATGTATAAAAACACTACTTGCTACATCAAATAATAACTCCATCGAAACAAATAATGAGGAAACAATTTTCAATATACATGGCAGGGGGCTTGTGAATGACGTTTTTAGTGCGTAAGCATGGCCTTGCTTCGAATTGTTTTGGGGTTACATTTCTTTTCCAGATAATTTTCTTCAATTTTAGCAAATTTAGGAGCACGAAAGACCATGCATGTGTATGTTTTTATTTATTTATTTTTCGAGATGAGCTACATGATCGAAGTTGTAATGAAAAGAAAAACCAGAGAGATACTACATTCCCATCATTATGTGACGCGTTTTGCCGTTGGTTAAGCGGCTCATCAGGGGGCATCCGAAAGTATCAGAGGATCGTATATACAAAAACAAAATACAAATGGTATCCCAAATAACCCGCCAAACACTACAGAATCGAAAATCTTAGCTGTGTGATATAGACGTATACTGGTCAACATATCCCTATATCTAGGGTCATTTAGTTTAGTCTGATATTTTTTCAATAAAATTTTTTGTTGTTCTACTCAAACAGCTGATTTGTTATATTAAATGTCATTACAAACTGATATTATCTCACATAATGCTTTCTCGAAGCCTTTCGAAGTCAAAGGTGTCCTTCAAGTGAATTTCTAACTTTTAAAATATTTATCGAACTCTAGTTATTCTAGCAATTTCTGGACCATTCGCTTTCCCAATTTTAGGTTTGCAGTACGAATTGTTGCTAATTTAAAAAGATTTTACAGAATTTTTCTAAACTTTTTCTTCTGAAAATGATTGATCAGACTTAATTTGTTACCGCGAAGTTGTTTTTTGTATATAGTTTTTAATATCAACAACATTTCATTTGAACATTCCAAGATCTGCTAATTATATCGTTATATATTAAAATTTTTCAGTGATATTTCTCTGTTTTCTAACTCAATCGATCAAGTACAGTACACATAAGCGTTTTCAATAAAAAAAATGAGTCCTTTACCGGTTTGAAATTGTTTTTAGTATTACAAAAAGTACCGGAACATAGCATTCCTTTTTCATATGTTATTTAAACCACAAAATCTAAGGCGCCTTAATGTTTACAAACCGTTGCCGGCAAAGCCTAATCGGTTCATTTGTTTTGATACCCCAATTCGGTCCGATTTTCGACCTAATATTCACCAATACCAATCTTTGTTTGTTTGTTTTGATTCTGGCTTTTATCTTATATGGATGAAACATTTTCTTCTATCCGTGGTCTACTGTATCTGCATTCTACGGCGTCCTGTTCGTATCGTAAATAGCAAATCGTCCAAGTGAATGGAATCAATTGAAATCTACACAGATCGAATTTAATCCTGGTAAGATAAAACAGGTCAAATACAAATACAGCAGGTAGTCCTTTTGGTGCTGATATCAAGGCCATAAGCGGTTCCATCCTGAATTATGCTGCCCAGGCCTGGACTTCTTTCCTTAGTGACACACAATGGAGATCCTTGCAAACTCAATGACTCGTTCATATTCAGTTATTTTGTCTGTTATAATGTCCTTTATCAACATTATTGACCGGTTTCTGTATTTGTTTACTTATTTCTTCCTTTTCGGTGTAAACACAAACAAAATTTAATAATTGAAATTCATTTACGAAAGAAGGCATCAAAACAAAATGCTAAAGAAAAAATTACAATATAAAATCACGACAAATCCCACACCCAATACCAGTCACAATGTGGTCGATGTCAATAGTAATCAACGTAATTTGCCGCTAAAGGTCTCCCCTTTCTTTGCCCCAACCTATTGGGAACAGTTTTATGCTCTCGAATGTGAGTTGAATGGCTACCTCAGGTTATTAAAACCCCCACCAGAAATAACACACATTTACAATCCTGTGGAGTATGCAGCCCAAATCCATTGTGATTATTTAAAACGTTATCTAAAGGGTCCCCGAAAGCTGGTCTTTATTGGCATGAATCCTGGTGGTGATGGAATGGCCCAGAATGGTGTAAGTTATTTATCGAATAATTAGGAATGAATCTCTATTTGAATTTGCTATTTTAGGTACCATTTGGTAACATCTCCACAGTACGTGATGTTATGAAATTACAGGGAGTTATTATGGATCCACCACAACAACATCCCAAACGTCCAATAAGGGGTTACGATTGTACTCGAGAAGAGCCAAGCGGCAAACGTTTATGGTCTTTGTTTGAGAGGCTTGCCAACAATTCATTGGATACATTTTTCCAACAATGTTTTGTCCACAATTTTTGTCCATTGGCTTTCTTTGATGGTGCCGGTCGTAATATAACACCCAGTGAAATTAAAGGACCCTATAAAAAGGAATTGCAGGAAATGTGTTTACGTACCATTGAAAAACAATTGTATTTGTTAGAACCCGACTTTATCATAGCTGTTGGAGATTATGTTTTTAGAGCACTTCGAAATTCGGATTATTGTAAAGGTAAATGCCTATTGCGTCTAGATCACCCTAGTCCTCGATCATTAAACAACACCAATTGGCCGGAGAAGGCGGAGCGCTTTCTTCTGGAACATGATTTATTGAAATACTTGCGCAACGAAGTTTAAATGTAGATTTCTAAGGATTCAAATATTTATGAATTTAATGCGTTCCTTTTTATGTTTAAATATTTTGTTAATGAATTGAAGAGCTGTGCTCTTTTGAAATTGATCTCTTGATTTAAAATCATAAAAGTATTATTTGTGTTTAAGTTTCGCAATAAATGTATTTTTCTATAAAATGTTCAAATTTGTGTAAAGAAATGTTGCATAACCAAATTTCTAAGCATACAACAGAACACGACAGCATTACGAACTCTAGATTTAAGGTCATAATTCGGCACTACGCTATTGTCGTAGGAGTAGTAGGTATATTTTTTGGAAGTTTTTTTAAAATTTCGTGTGATATTTTTTGTTTTCAGTCCAAATATGCTATTAGTATTAATGGTTTTACACAGAACTAGATTTCAGTTTTTATTAGACCTATAATACCTCTAAAAATTTCCGAACGAGTTCATACGTAATTTTAGCAAACGGATATTTTTTGGTTTAAGCTATCATAAGATTTCGGTTGCCAATTCGACGCCTCCAAACCATAGTATGCTAAGTCGACTTAGCATGTTTTGAAGTTCTTTACGTTTTTAGATAATACGGTCCTTAATTTAAATTCACTGAAATTTTCGTAATCATCGGCCAATCCAAACCAGTTATAAGCAAAAATGTACTTAGCATGGCACATACGATTAAAGAAACTTCCATACTTTGAAAGCTTCTACTGAAAAACTCACTTTTCAGACTTAGCATACTATGGTTCGGAGGCGTCGAATTGTAAGAGAAAACATTATGGGGAAAACGGGTCGACAAAGCCCACAGATGCAGGTCTGTCTACAGAAGAGCCGTAAATGATAGATTAGTTCTACCAGAGCATCTAGTGCACAGTAATCTACAAACATGTAATGTAAAACCATTATATAACTTTGCGGACAACACCAAAAACTATATTGTATATAGATCCAATTGATATCATTGCAGCATTAAGACTTAAAGCCTATAACGAGTGGATCGATACCGGACATAATATACCGCAAAAAATACATGCTACAATCGGATGCGCCTTCGGGAGCAGAGCTGATTGTTAACGGACGTGTCCATAGGTTGCGGATAGTGGGAAGCACAATATAATTCTTTGGGTAGCTGTGAATATAAAAAAACAGTCGCTGGCAAGCTGCTACTGAGGGAGAGTCTCGGAGAAAATGACCAAATATCCATATCAGTCGTCTTGGGTCACCCTTCCAAAATGACTCCCATAACGCTAGGGTGTCAAGCGACCTCGTGCTCAGTGTGTCAGTGTTCTACAGTTTGCAGTCAGGGTCCCGACTGGGCGCTTCAACAAGTTTGTTGCCGAGTCCTTACTACGGTAAGAAGCTATGCCATGGTCATCCTCGAATCCTCACTAAAATCTTTTCTATGGAGCCGGATTGAGCGCTGCGAAACCCCTGACATCATCCACGAAAACTGAGGGTAATGGACTTTTGAAGTCAGCCCGAAGGAGACCCGGTAAAAAGCCTCCGTGAAATCTGATAAGGCACTACACCCTCTGCCGAAATGTCGAAACCAAACTTCAAGCTAAACTCTGGGGAGTATCGTTATATGGTGATAGTAAAGAAGTCATAAAAGCATAACTTCCAACTCAATTAAATCTTAAAGTATTCTGGAATGTATAATTTCTCACGACACGATTTTGTACGAATCATATAAGTACAGAGTAACACAGCAATAATAGGCAATTGAATCTAATTTCCAAATTGCTAATGTTCTGCCGACTATAGACATGAATAATGCCAATGTGGGGAAGACAGCGATACGCTGGAACAGTTCCAGTGCCACTTCACACCCCTTGAAGCCTTCGTACACAATTCTTAGGAAATCTAAGGGGTGTGAATTTAAAAGCCTAAAGGACCTTCACTAAGAACACAGAATTCCTATAATTATAAGAAGTCAAATCGTGTGATACTTTTCTTCACTGGCTTAAGTGTACATCCTATTATTGGATATGTGGTGTGTAAACCAACGTAACCTAAAGTAAATTTCAGAGCAATTCAATCCAAATCCGGCTATAAAAATCTTAAACGATCTCTTGACTGCTGATCAAACCTCAATCGTAAAGTCCTCGGAAAATTCCGTCACCTGATTGTGATGAAATGTCATAAAATGGTGTAAAACCCCTCTTCGAGAGGTGACACGACGGTAACGTATTGCCGTCTTATTGACGTAAACCTAATCCATTCAACTTCGACCATAACACTAACTGCTAACCCAACCTGGATTTTGAACAAGTCAAAATGTCGTTATGTTCGGTCGGGTTGAACTTTTAATAACCTCCACCTTGGACATTTAAAATACCAGTAGCCGTTCGGGGCCTTCATAATTGGCGGACTATGTCATGGTATATTTTTGGTAGGAAAAATTGACATGAGAAATAAATTAGAACCAATTCGGTTAAAAAACGTACCCAATAATAGGATGCTATCGTAAAATCTAGGCCGATATTGATCATTTTTGGTAAGGTGATTTACTACTGTTGATTTCCGAACAAGTCAAAACGTCGGCCGGGCTAAACTTTTAATAACCTCCACCATGAAGTGGACATTTAAAATACCAGTAATCGTTCGGAACCTTTCATAATTGGTGGGCAATGTCACGGTAAATTTTTAGTAGAACGTTTTGACACCAAATGTGAACCATGTTAAGGGCTAAGCAGAATGCTCGCGTTGAGGCATCCGTCGCGTTATATGTTATCGAAAATACAACAAACACAAGGAAATGATATGCGTTTATGTTATCGTGTCCTTGTGGTTGTTGTATTTTCGATAACATATAACGCGAAGGATGGCTCAACGCGAGCATTCTGCTTAGCCCTTTAGAGTCATTTCTGTTAAAATGTGCCCAATATTCCGAATAATGGGTATGCCGTTATGTGGAGGCTATCCTGAAAATGTAGACCAATATCGATCATTTTTAGTAGGGAGATATTCTACCCAATGGAAACTCAAAATAGCAAATTTCAACCAATAGATTAAAAAAAACTTGCCCAAAATACCGAATAATGAAACTTGAAAAACTTGACCTATGGCGAATTTGTCCTACCAATTGACCAAGGGCTTTTATCTTCCAAATTAATTTTTTACATTGTTGCACTCCATACAAATATATCAGGGCTTTTGTAGTATTTCAGGAGGCTATGTTCCCTTTAATTTCTACTGTTAATCGCCTTGTGGTCAGGTTATACCAAAATTTTCTTAATCCTTCCTACTTGCTGGTCGTGCTCTAATACTAAAGTATTGCCTAAAATGATCGAGCAAGCTAATTACTCCCTTGAAGTATCAAATTATGAGGACATCTACTTTCCTTCAAATAATTCACAGTGGAGCGCCATCTGTTAGAATTTTCTTACGACTATGAAAACCACACAGCTAACCAGCACTGAAAGTATACATTACCATTTACAACACTTAAGTGTGACAGCTGTCACCACAAAACTCGTAAACATCTGGTAACGTACACAAGAACTTACACACACACTCTCAAACGAATTCAAACAAACAACACAAACGTACCGCGAAAGGTGACGCTACAGAGAAAGAACGAAAAGAAACAAAATATTTCAAAGCAATTTACTGTGCCAATAAATCTATAAAGAATAAAATAACTAAACAAGAAAATGAGCGAAAAACTTAGTGAAAAATTTAGCAAATTTGAGAAAATCTATCTTATGGAAAAACATCGTATCGATAGCTTCAAAAATTGGCCCTATGACGAGACGGTCGATTGTAGCATTACAAAAATGGCCCAAGCTGGTTTCTATTGGTCGGGCAACAAAAACGACGATGACACCGTGACCTGTTTTGTGTGTGGCAAAACACTGCATGGCTGGGATCCCACCGATGATCCATGGAAAGAGCATGCCAAACATGCGCCACAATGCCAATTTGTTAAATACGGTCACAAAGAAAGTGATTTGACGGTGAGTACGAAGGATAGATTTCAATCTGTTTAAGGTATATACAGTCGAAATAGCTTATAACGACGAGGGTCAAAGGACTGGGGAAATTGGTTGCGAAAGACTTTATAAATAGATTTTTTTTTTCAGGTTTTGGGATATAGTCGAATAAGCGATATGCCACAAAAAGCGGTGTTATAAATGATTTCAACTGTATTTTCTTCATATTTGCTGAACATGTTCAATCATGACATTTTTCTGTTGTATTTATATTTCTAGGTGGAAGAATTCCTAAATATTTTCCATGCCGTTGGAGTGACTAAAATGATGAAAGAAGTCAATGGTATTAAAACGAAATTTCTTGCCCGTTCCTCATCCGAATTGGAAAAGTGTTTAATGGAGAAGAAATAGTGTGCCAGTGCCATATTGTTATTTTTAGTATACATTTTTTTATTAGTAGTTGTAAATTTAGTTTTATTAATAACAATAATAGAAAACAAATAAAAGTATTATATTTAACTTTTATAAAGACATGTAATATGGTATTTTATTTATATAATTGTAAACTCTGTATGATACTGAAGCACAGAAATCCAACGTTCTCCTAAACATCTCGGCGTCATACTAGACAACCATTTATCATTATATTCTTGAAAGAACACGATAGGGAAGACTTTGTGGACTGGCTATTCAATGCAGTTGTCCGTCCCATTATTACCTATGGATGTCTGCCGGCTATTTCCGATATCATGGAGGGTGCCCTTTCAACTGTGCCCAACTGGAATCTTGCCAATGGTCTTGACGTAAACCTCACTAAGACAGAAATGGTACTCTTCACTAGGAAACGTAAGATTCCAAATTTCCGCTTACCTTGGTACAATCCTTGCCCAGAAATTAGCGTGGAAAAAGAATGTTGAGGAGCGCACTAAGAAAGGACTAATGACACTCTATTCAGTAAGAACTCTATATTCTCTATACTCTATGGTGGCAAGGGGACAAAAAAGGTACTGCTGGCTAAAATGAGTACAGTACAGCGATCGGCTTCGATCCTGACAACTGGAGCACTAAGAAGCACACCACAAGTAGTCTTTAATGAATTCTTGAACCTCCAACAAATGGGCTCTCTGGTTAAATTCCAGGCTGCTAGAAGTGCTCTGAAGCTCTGGGAAACGGATGCTTGGAAGTCGCTGAAATTGACCACGGTGCAGGCGTTTACTGCAGGAAACTAGCAATGTATAACTCATATAAACTTAAGGAGCTTTGCAGCGTTTTTCAAGCTGAAATCCTAGCAATCACGAAAGCGGCTGAGGCAGTCAAAACACTTCCTGTCGATAACATAGGACCGGTGACTATATATGTCGATAGTCAGTCCTGAGTGGCAGAAGACACAAACAGTTCGGAAAATAAGAAATTGATAATCTAGCATTCTTCTCAGGAATAGACCCCAAGCAAATCATAAGCATTGTTGAGATTTTGACATGGCTACAATAACCATATTTCTATACTCTCCAACTTCCACTATCTTTCCTCTTTTCCATTCTCTTTTCTCCCCTCTTTTCCGTTACCAAGGATGATCACAATGGACAAATGTCTCTGAAGAACTTTACAACATACAAACTAAACGAGAACTAGTTATTTTGCAAGCAGATATTTTTGAATATATTTAGAAATCTGGATGTAGGACCTCCAATCTATCTGACCAGCAATTTAAAAACGTATATTTTAATTTATATACCGGTTTCATTTCATAAAGATGACTGTAGGGATCATTAAATATCAGTGAAAAATCAGATCTCTCGTTTTTCAAAGTGAGAGAATAATGATCTGGATTACTGCAGTCTATGCGGAGATGAAGAGGAGACAGAAACAATTTTAAAGAAGGTATCAATTTTCTTCGAAATGTTTTTAAATCATTTACAACTTTGTAATGGTTGAGCTATTAATTTTAACCTCTACATTTTTCTTCATATAATCACTTTCTTCCTTATTTTTCTACAACGTCTGTAGGCAGTTGCGCAAACTATTTGAGAAATATCATTTACCGAATCAGTGTTTAGTAAGGAGGGTAGTTGCAAACCCAAACCAATTAGATTAACAATAAACAGTCTACTAGACTAAATGAATGCATTTGACCACTAAATAAAGCTGCAACAGCATATTTGAGGGATGAATACCACGTTTTCGAGCATGAATGATCATGATTATGACAGCATTCTGCATGTAGTAGTATAGACAAATTTCAATTAAATAGGAAAGATGTATAGGGTTTGGTACATAAGTAAGTCTTTGGTCATATTAATTAATGAGTGATATCAATTTTATCTCAATTAGATAGTAACAAGACCTATAGTTACTTTCGGACCGATGTTAATGGTTAATTAAAGCCCCATATTTTGGAAATGTGGCTAGGGAGACCTTCAATAACCTATTAAATCCTTATACAATGCCGCTATTAGGACTGTAACAAGATGTCCTCACATGACTCCCGATAGACCACTTAAATGAGGAAAGATCTTCAATGAAACAAAAAGGAGTCTTTAGATCAGCAGGCCCATCAAACAGGACCGAATTGTGCACACACGTATGTAGTTGAATTTCAAGAATACAGGGCGAATACTATCGTAAAAGGAATGTCTCTATTTGGGTCAGATTCTACAAACGGAATAACAAATTTAATATACACTCCACTATTTAGTGGAGGCTATAGAAAGGTATTTGGTGATAAAGCGAAATGCTAAATTACATTATTTTGGTTCTTCAATAACATGAAACGAACCCGTCTGTTTATATCATTTTATTCAAGACAGATATAACATAAAAAAACGATTTTGCAGAAAATGCGATTTAACTTTTCAATTTAATTACACTTTATATGGGGCAGAGGAACGTCTACAGCTTCTCAATTAGATTTTGTAAGATATATTCATCGGACAGTAAATGTATATATGTACTTGTCATATATGCAATGAAATTGGCAGTTCAGATCTACTGTACAATTTAAACTTAATATATAGCCAAATTTTCAAAGCTATATCTCAAATATTGCGCACTTTATATATCAATAAGCAGACATGGTTCATTCGATATAGAATTTTACTTGGATCAAGTATCTATATTAAAGCATCCCCGTTAAATACTCCGAGGTGTCAAGAACGGAGTGATAAGTTTAATATCTACTTCACCTTATAGCAGTTAATATTTTGATGTGTTCCACACGATATGAGAAATTAGTTATGCATACACATCACTTTGTGGCAAACTTTGTTCCCGGATAGGTATTAAAGAACGCTTATTTTCAAATTTACCTGCAAAAATAATGAATATTCTCTTTAATATTTATGATTATGAATCTACATAAGTTAACCCACCTTAATGTTTATTTACGTAAAATCTGGAGACAAAAAAATGGGATCATTTAAACACACAATTTAAATACTTCATTGAAGTCCGGAGGAAATCGTTTATTTTTAAGAGATTTTAAGAATAAAACATTATCTGAAATCTCAAACACTACGATACTGAACGCCGACACTTTATACCGAATATATTTGTTAGGTTCTCAAACGGTTGACCGAAAAAGTGATCATTTATATGGAAGCGGGTCGCTGATATAATCCATTAATTTAAAAACATTTAGCAAAAATTGACAATATTTTTTTCAAGGGCAAAAATTACACAGACACAGTAGAACACAATTCGAATGACTCTATCTTCCTCAATTGGAGGTTAAAGTAATTAAAAGTATTTAAGTAAAAGCTTTTGTTCGCAAAATTTTCTAATTAGAACAGTTTTCCCAGAAAAAACGTCTTTATCGTTCACTAAACGCGCCATTACTAAAGCGTCACTTCCTCTCTCATGAAAAATAACGGAATATGTCAACAAGTGTCAGATTAGTGTTACGTCTGACTAATCAAAGCATGACTATACAGTGTTTATTGAGAGTAAGTTTGTGAGAGCGTAGCTAAGGATGCTTGGCGAAAAGAGAATACGTTTTTCCATAAGCGCTATGGTACTATTTTGTGCATAAGGGTTTAATGTATTGATTTGTATGATTGCATAAAAAGATGGTAAACTTATTAATATTAATTATCATGCTTAGGGGCGGCGGGTAGTGTAGGGTACAGAATAGTCTACCACGTTCGACTTGTATCCCTTCTTCATTGGTTTGTATTAGAATAATACTAATAACTATGAACCTATATTGTCCGTGGTTTATCATCTGAAACTCAAAACATTGAAATATCGACTTAAAGGGGCTGTTACAGCTACTATGCGTAAACATGTTTTTTTCATACGTTTAAGTAATTTCACAGATACGAAAATTTTCACATCAGCTGTTTGTATTGTTTATGTTTACAAATAAACGTTCTCCGTTAATAACAAAACAAAAAAGAAACAATTTCATCTAAAACAAACCATGATTTTTGATAAATTTATGAGTGAAGCCTTCGTTGAAGCAAGACGTGCTCTCTCGGTTGGTGAAGTTCCAGTTGGTTGTGTATTTGTTTACCGTGGAAACATTATAGCCAGAGGAGCAAATGAAGTAAATGCCACCAAAAATGCAACACGCCATGCTGAATTTGTGTGCATAGACCAGATTTTGGAATATTGCGTTAAAAATGGCCTTAGCCATGAAGATGTATTCCCTGAAATTTCTGTAGTGGTTACCGTAGAACCTTGTATTATGTGTTCGGCTGCGTTGCATGATCTTAAAGTTAAGGAAATCATATATGGTTGTGCAAATGATCGTTTCGGTGGCAAGACAGTTGTTGATGTTCCACAAGTGGTGAATTATCATGTGAAGGTGGAGGGTGGCCTGTGTGCCGAAGAGGCAATGGATTTATTAAAGGAATTCTACAAGGGTGAAAATCCCTCAGCACCAGTTGCAAAAAGTAAAAGATAGTAAATAAAGTTTAATGTTGCTCTTTATACTTTAAGAATATAGAAATTTATAAATAAATTATATTTTTTATACTGAAAATTATTTATTATTTTTTTTCTCCAAAGTTTTTTTTTCACATTCAAACTTGCCGAAATGGAAATTTACAGCCTCTACGAGTGGGAAATGAGGCTGTACAGTTAACATATAGGTGATATGTGGTAACATTGATCTATTTTGAAAATGTTACGGCAGGAGAACTTTAAAACCTGAAGCCATGAAATGCCTAATTATATTATTATAGAAAATGTAGCTTAAATCACAGGACAGATATATCCAAGGCGTATTAAAAAGTACAGGCATTATATTTCAACAGACATACTACTAGAAATGCTAAGTCGACATAGAATTCATCAGTTATCTACAATTGGGGCCCACCAAGGGTGTGTTGTAAATTGAATGACGGGTTTTACCCAGATAATGGCATATATATTTTTAATAGAATTTAATAATATATATAGTTTAAAAGCTAATATTATATTACTAATAATTTAAAATCGTTGAGTATTAGAGCCGGGCCGAATTTTTATTAATATTATTTAATCCAGATATTTATATGGTTAAATTGGTGTCAGAAAAAGAAGCGAAATACCAAACTACAGACACTTAGGTTGGAAAATTGCACTAAAATTTTGAACATACCAAAAATGATGCGTGAACTTCCTATGGGGGCGTTGCAGAAATATGGGCATGTATTGAAACAGTCCTGTTAGGAAGATGTTTACCCGCAAGGTTCCCGAATGTCAAAATACAGTCACATTATAATACAAAAATGTAATCACAGCGGTTGGAAATGCGTCTAGCACCATCAAAATGCTCTTAAAGGTTGCTGGACTTTAATAAGGAGCTACATCAAGGATCGATCTGTATTTATAATTTATCTCTTAAATTACACCCAATTCGATGAAAAAGATTTCTTAATAAAACTATATATCACGAATAGGGCGTTTCCACGACATAGGGGTATACGATCCGAAACAAACCGAGTCTTTCTCGGCCAATGTCTGTCACCTCAGCCCATTGTGTAAAGCAATAGCAAATGAATTGTACCATAAGATGAGGGCTAATCCTTGAAATGATATTAATAATTTCGGTAGACAATTTTGCCACCAAATGGAAACCCAAAATATTAAATTAGAACCAATAAGGTTAAGAAATTTGCTCACAATACTGAAAAATGGGAGGTGCCCTATACAGTAAAAACTCGCTAATCCGGATAATTGATTGCAGACCCCAATCCGGATTACTGAGATTTCCGGATTATCGAGTTTTATTAATTGGTTTAAATTTATATTAATTTGGTGATAATTTAATTATTTTTATGTTTTTATTAAAAATGAAAATTATTCATTTCAAAAATATGAACTTTGAATATAATAGGTACCATTTTCAATTAAAAACGATTTTTTCTTAAAATAAAAACAATCCGGATTTTTAAAATAGGTCAATCAATCCGGATTATAGGATACACATTTGTGTCCGGATTACCGAATAAAGACGGATTATCAAGTTTATACTGTACTTAGGATATTATCTATAATAGAGATGGATATTTCATATCCAAAGGAAATCAAAAATATAAAATTACAGTCAATTTTGTTAAAAGACGAAAATCTAAATTTAGGACGGTATCTTTATATGGCCAATATTAAAATATTTTGTAGTATCTCCGGTGAATATTTCGAAGGCTAAATTTAAAATACACTCTACTGTATGGTGGAAGATATAAAAAGCGGTACGGTACTCTGAAAACCAAGCAACTTAGGGGTAGTAGCAATATATGTGTAAAACACTATAGCTCTATCTTAATTTCATCAGACAGACGGACATGTCTAAATCATCATAACATTTAATTCTGATCAAGAATATAGACTTTATGGAGTCTCTGATGAATATTTGGTGTTGTTGGAGACAGAGTGACAAATTTAATATACACCGCACCGTATGGTGGAGGTTATAATCAAGTGATATCCATATTCTACCTTGTGGTCCTAGATGTAGGAATAAATATTTCAAAAATTTTCAGTTCCAAGTTTACCTGAAATTAATTTTAATTTTATAATTTGATTGTTATTCTAGTCATGTTTACTCACCTCCATTGATATTTATATTAACTCAGGGGATAAAAACTTCCTCAACGAAAATAATGGAAACCTAAAAGCATCACAAAATTTACCACGATTTTAACGAACACCGGAGGAGACATTTATATACACGATTATTAAACGATTTGAGAAAATGAACGAATTAAAGCATATTTATTTTATCTGGAAGAACAATTTAAATATCAAATTATAATTATAAGTTTTAGTAGTAAAATCATAAATACTCACCACTATGTTATCACATTAATCCGAAACCGTACTATTTATGGGGAGAATTTCAAGAGAATTGAATGAAATAAGATGGAGAGGCAAGCTTAGAGCATATTCACAGAATCTAATGGAAATTACATTGTCGGAAAATTCAGCAAAACTTATTGTCATATTTTCTCAGTTTTTTTCTACCGAATAAAATTAAACGGACACAATGGAACACACAACCATATAACCGAAGGAATACATTTTGAATCACATCCCGATACTCGAGAGGAAACTAGCATATTGTACACGATTTTCCCTATAACCGAAACCTACAAAATTTATATCCATAAAATTGTTGAATTATTTCAGGCAACTTTTTCAAAGTAAAACACAAACGGCTCACAGTATTCGATTGAAATCCCGATAAACTAATTGTTAAACACACACAACAACATAAACACCACAACGCACGACTCTATATTATTAACTCGCCTATTGCTGGCAAAATTATTGTAAAAAAACTCTCTTCTTCGCGAATTTTTCTTATAAGAACAATTTTCTCATAAAAAACGTCTGTATTGATCATTAAACGCGCCATTACTGAAGCGTCATTTCCTCTGTCATGTAAAATAACGGAAAATGTCAACAAGTGTCAGATTATTTTTAAAGGGGGTTGCCATCACTTAACTAATAAGCATGAATAAGCAGGGTTTATTGTATTTCATAGTTTTTGTTTCATTAAAAATGGGCAAATAATTTGTAAAACTGAAGCCTTTAATAACGTTTTATTAAGGAATTTATTTACACATCTGATATTTATTGAAAAAATATTTTGGTAAAAAATACTCAAGTATTTTATTAAAAATACTAAATATGTACTCTTCGGAATTAGATGGGCCTTAAACAAATACTTTTTAAAGCCACAATTCTGTTGTTCTTTAAGAAATATCCCATTATTAATCTACACTTAATAAGGCAATTGCAAAAATACTCTTTCAAATCGACGCTTTGGAAGATTCTTGAAAAAAATCTATAGAATATTCATGATCTTTGAAAAATAATCTATAAAAACCACGCAATATGTTTGTAATTGAAAAACTTTTTTTAAACCAGTAAGAAAAGTTCAAAAATCGTACGGGCCGACTATATGATACCCTTCACCGCTTTGGGTACATAAAAGAGATGCTCATGTACACTGTCCTTTTGATAGAATAGACATAGCATCTTTGGAGGACCAATGAAATGGAATCCGACGAATTTAACTGAGTACATAGATATTTGAACTAAATTAAAGCAACACATATACATACCAATCTGAAATTTATGAAAAATTGAATGTCAATGCTCCATTTACATAAAATCGGACTAAATCTGAACCGATTCTAACAAAACTACGCATACATCAATCTGGATCTAATTCAGTACTCTGTGGAAAATGTTGTCTCAATCCGACCAATATTAGCAGTATGGATCTTCATTTACATAAAATCGGACGAAACTATATATGAAAGCTATATCTAAATCTGAACCGATTTCAACAAAACTTGGCATACATCAATCTAGACCTAATTTATTACTTTGTGCAAATTTTTGTCTCAATCGAACCAATATTGGGAGTTTGGTGCACCATTTACATAAAATCGGACGAAACTATATATTGGAGCTATATATAAATCTCGTCCCTGGGCCAAATTAGTGACATGTACCAAATTTCATTCAAATCGGATCGTAAAACGGCTTTTACATTAGAACTTTTTACCGGGTTAACCTACTTTATGAGGATTTATTTGACATATATGCAAAGGAATTGACAATTGAAACCCACTGGGTTAACGAAATCCGGTTAAATGTAAACGTACTATAAGACGACATGCATAAATCGACTCAGAAAGTGATTCTATGCATATTCTCAAAAGGAACCATGGGTCTATCTCGATTCCTTTTGCCTGTTACAAACATATGTACAAAGACATAATACCCTGTACCATAGTATGGTGAAGGGTATAAAAATACATTCCTTGATTTGGCCAATGAAATAGTGTCGTTTAAAAAATACACACCCTGTTTTGGTTCTTGAAAAATATTTGGTCTGTTCCCGTACAGCAAGAATCTACTAGATTTTAGTATTTTCTTCGATATCATAAAGGAAAATTCGTTATCGTAGTAAAAAGTAGTAGATTCTTGCAGTAAGGGAATAGACCAATTGTTCAGAAAATACAGGCTTTGTTTGAATAATATTTTTAGTTGGTCCTTGAAAAATATTCTTTAAAAAATTCTCTCGTCAGTTGGTCATTGACAATTATTCTTAAAAAATCCCTGTTCTTGAAAATAAACTCTTAAAAAATTCACGCTCCAGCTGATCCTTGAAAATTATTCTTAAAAAAATAAATGCTTCGGTTGATGCTTAAAAATATTTTTTTTTAAATCCTTACTTTAGTTGGTCTTTTTAAAAATCCTCTCATCATATTTTTTGAAAAATGTACGGATTAGTTTGTTCTTGAACATATATTCTTTAACAAATCCACGCTTCATTTAGTCGATAAAAATATATTCTTTACAAAATTTACAATTCAGTTGGTGCTTTATAAATACTCTTTTGAAATTCCATGCTTCAGTTGTTGGAAGATATATTCATAAAAAATCCACGCTTCAAAAAAAGTGTCATT